GGCATCGCGCTCGGCTCCCGCGGCCGCCCCGGCTACCTGAGGCACCTGCAGCCGCCCCCGTGGAGCCGACGCGGGCGAGGAAGGAAACCCCTAGAACACGTCTCGTCGAAAAATAGAGTTCTATGTATCGCCTGCTGAAAACGTCTAAAACCTGGAGCGCGCGATTCTAGCACAGAAACCTCCTGCCGTCCCGCCCGCGCTGGCACAGCACGCCCGCCCGCGCGCGGGGCAGCAGTCATGCAGTTCGGATCAGCAGAAAACGCCGGGTCGCTGCCTGGGAAGCCTGAGGACTGTTAGGGGGGCGGCCGCGAGCAAAGCGGGAGTGCGAGGGGGCAGCTAGCTGCAAGGCGGGAGGGAGAAAAGCACCCCAAGACAGACAGACACGCTACCCCTGCGGAGGGGAACCTCCCACACGCAAGAGCAGACTTGGGCCGTTCGCCTTTGCTCTCCAGAGCTCCCCTTTTCCTTCCTGTTGGGCACCTGCCTCTGATGGCACCAGCAGCAGATGGAAGGGTACAAGAGATGACACCTGAGTCGCCCCGTGGGAGCCAAGGGCAGAGAGTGGACGGAGGAGCCGTGCATGAGAACCAGGAAATCCCAGCCTCCCCTGCCAGGACTGTTTGAGGGAACACAGCCTGCTGACAAAGCTGGGGCTGCAGGTGGTCCCGGAGAGCAAGGGGGCTTCCCAAGCAGCACCTGGCGCTGGGCATTTCCACAGTGCTCATCGCCCAGGTGTCGCAGCAGTCTGAACTGCAAGTCAGCTCTCGGTGCCCGCAGGGGCTGGTTCCAGCTAGGGATGGAGCTGCTCTAGCTCTGCATGAGAGTCGTGACAAGCACCCGGAGAAAATATGCTCATCCTTGCTCAAAGCTGACCTGCTGTGCAGGGAGGAAGAGGCAGAGCTGAGCTGTGGGGGTTAGACACCTCCACATACCTCTCGCAAAGAGGCTAAATCTCATCTGAATGCAGCTAGCTTAACAATAACACCAACTCGTAGCCTACATCAATACACAGGATGTCTTTAAAGACCTGTATAAGCATTAAATCTCCACCCTGTTGTATTCTCCAAACTCTGCTCAAAAGATTAGTTCATATAACAGCTATTTCTTTCCCAAACCAAGATGCCTTCTGTTTTTGCCACCTTTACACTGTTAAATCTACAACACCATGCTGGCTACCAGAGCCACAAGGTAGCCACATTTCAGACAGAGAAAAATGTAGCTCCCAAAGCACAGTTCTAGTTTTCTCGGTTATGCAGAAACTAACAACCCTCCAATCCATCAAGGGTGACATCGAGATATCCTAGCACTGGGCTGCGTCAGGGCAACGCTCACAGGAACGGCAGGGAAGGGAATTCCACTCCTTTCTGCCTACATCAGGGGACTCCATCTACTTCGCTTCTGCCGGCCTGGAGCAGACAGAAAGCACCAGAGAGACCTGCAGAGTCTACTAACCCTGTTATTAGCCTGTGACCTGGTAAGTAACTGCCTGCTCATGTGCTGACATTACAGTAACTGCTTTGAGGTTAGTTCCCTCCCAAGATGAACAAGGCATTTTCACATCTGCTCAATTTACTTAGGTTTCACATTAAAAAATAAAGGTTGTAGAAGAGCTCCAAGCCCCTGCAAACATGATAGCATTCACAGGATCCACCCAGCGTCATTCACATGGAGACAGAAATAAAGTGAAGTCTGCCAGTTACTTTCCAGGATGGCTCAGCACAGGCTCCAACAGCACAGCACACTTGTTCCCAAAGGCCTGGCTACACGGCCCACACGCGTCAGGGCTCACATCAAACAGGGCTCTTCTCCCTTGGCTCAAGGAGCAGGATCAGCCTTGTTTATCCAGGTAACACAGCAGGTGGGACTGATCTGATCGTTGCCAACCTGCAGACACTGACACAACACAGCTTATTCCAAGGTGCTTGCACACCACCAGGCTCTATCCAACACGGTCAGGACAGCTGCAATTTAACAGTCCCTCACTGCTGTACTTTTGACAGCAAACAACACCCGCACTCCAATAAAACGAGTAAGGCAAAATCCATGCAGAAGACACACTCTCCAACGGCAAGGCTCCCACTTGTACCTGGGCACGCCGTCTCCATCATGCCTCCATTTGCGCAGCACAAACTCCTGCTGGGGCGTTTCACAGAAGAGCTCACACACCACTGCGCTAATCTGCAGCCACTGAGGTGCTCAGGCTCAGACCTCCAGCCGCCCCCCTGAGAACCAGCCACTCTCCTCGTGCAGTCACTGGCCAATGCTATGAAGCATGTGTTACAGGAGGAAAGGGGAACGCAGCTGGGTGGCTTCACAACTCTCAGTGCCTAAGAGGATTTGGAGGCAGAGGGAGGGAGAAAAAGCCTGTGGAATTTACAAGCAGATTATTGAGGAAAAACACTCCACTGCCAATTTATTTTTAAAAAGGGTTGTGTGTTATTCTAAGCTTTGTTTGTATAATTGTACAACCGTTGAAAATTACATAAGTTGTAATGATCTAATACTATTAACAGCCATTCAGAAAAAACTCCCTCCCTCCAAAACCAACCAGGGCGGGAGGAAAGTGTCTTGTGAACTATGCCATTCTGACCTCTGTCCTCTAGCCTGGCAGAAACAAAACGCAGAGATAAGAACAGGAACGGACTAAGAGGTGGTGTTTGCGTGTGTCTGTTTTGCAAGGGGCGGAGGTGGGTCTGTCCTTGGCTGTGTTTTCCCAGGGGCGGTGCCCGTGTCTCACGAGGAAGCCACCGTCATGTTGCTTGCCGCTCTCACCCCTGCACTCTGCCATCTGCTCCCACCTTACGTGTCGTGGAAGTCTTTCAGCAGGGTCCTCCTCCTCTGCTCTGCTATGTGCATCTGATTCTCCAAGTCCTGGAGTCAGGAGAGAGCACTGTCAGTCTGCACCACATGCAGCGGAGCTCTCCGCAAGGACCTTTCCGTGCCCCTTGCGCCCCATGGTCTCTAACCCTGGGTTAGAAGAACCCAGCTCTCCCCTTGTGGGGGTTCTGCTTCACATCTCCAACCTCAAAAGCTCTGCACCAAGATAATCAGCCCTGGAGCAAGGGCTACATGCTGCTTTCTGCAGGGACTACTGGCTCCTTTCAGTCAGGCAGGAGCAGCCAGAGGCCTTACACTCTCTGCTAGCATGGGCATTGCTGTCACAGCAGCCACAGGCCAAAGGCCAGCCTGAGAAGCTAATCCCTGGTGCTCGCCTAACTGCCAGGCTGGGCAGGGGCTTGCGCGTCGTTTCTCAGCCACCTAGGCCAGCCGAAATACTCACGCCTCGGTCGTAGCTGTCTGCTCGCTCCACCTTCCACGAGAGGTTTTCAATTTCTGCCTCCAGCTGGGCCTGCTGGTACTCAAACTGCAACCAACAGCACAGATCATTAGCGATGTCAAAGGGCAACTACGCCCCTGCCCAAAAGCCGCAAGGAGAGGAGCTTGCTCCCAGCCCAGCCTCTCACAACAGAAGGGGGCTGAACAAACCTCCAGAAGAGCTGGGGAAAGCAGTAAGCAATAAGGCTGCAGGAGGAGCAGCAGCTTCATGATCACTGGGGGCTGGTGCTGCTCAGCTCTACTTATGACTGCCCAAGCGCTCCAAGACTCTGGACCCAGAAGAAATTGCTACAACCATCCACGGTGCCCCATGGAGATGAATGCCCGCCCCCACAACGCCTGGGCTGCAAACCCCCACCCAGTCTCCAGGACCTGCTGGAGACATCGCTCACTAGGCCCAGGCATGCAGAGCAGGGAAGCATGTCCAAGGGTCCAGCAGCTGCGATTAGCAGGGGGTCAGTCAGACTCATTTGTCCTTCCTATCCTGACTCCCCATGTGAGAGAGAATGCCCAGAAGAGAGACCAGAGGGGCTCCGGGGCCCACACAGCCCGGGACTCTCGCAGGCCACCCCGGTGCTGGCTAGACCTCCCAGAGATTGTTACCCTGTGGCATGTCAGGCTGCAAACACGTGATGCCTCCTGGCAGCAGTGTAGCTGAGCAACGTGCTCCTGGCTTCCCTCTTCAGGTGCCCACAATCTCTCTCCTGCTAGAGTTTCTACAAGGCTCATTTGATGCCAAGGTCCTGTTCCTTCCCCCTTCCCAACAGGGCCAATGGCCAGGAGTGACCAACTCTGAGCTCCCAGGTACACACTAGCTTCTAAGCTAACTAGAACAGCAACATGAACTCTTAACAGTGAAAACAGGCTGAGAAGCTGAAGGTGTCACAATGCAGCACTGCTCTACAGCAAGCCTTAAGTGAGGCTCTTGGAGGGGGACTTAGCAGCACTTTTACTGTGGGAAGGGAGAGCAGTCCAGGATCTGGGGCCATCACAAAGCGTGCGGATCTATAGGGTTTAGTTTCACACCTATGCAACTCACACTCAAACTCTGGGACTGAGAGACAAGCCCCGGGTCCCCTTGGCCCACCACCTAAGTCCCAAGCTAAGCAGTTGGAAACAGAGTGCCAGACACCTTACCAGCTTCTTCCTGGGGCCAGACTCCATGTAGTAAGCGTATGGATAAGTGTACTGCAGGGTGTAGCGACACTGCAAGAGAGGAGGGGAAGAGATTCTCAGATCCAGACCACACTAGGATAGAACATTTCTGTGACAGACACAGAAACATGACCACAGAGCCTAGTCCAGTATGACTGTATGCATTATGGTGGATGGATGCTCTGAGGCACAGAGCAGCCCGGCACAAAGAAAAACAGAGCCACTCCCAGAGGTAGCTTCTTCTCAACCCTGAGGGGTTTATGCACTGAGCCCAGAAGGGCTACCTGTTTGGCAGTGCAATCCCTGGCCACAGGCCCTCTCCCGGTACTGTCCTGGAGCAGAGCACTTGGGTATGCAAGCTCCCCTTTGGCAGCGAATGAGCCCCTTGTGCCCACCTTTGCAAGCAGCTTGGCAGCGTTCTGCAGGTACTGCCAGTCTATCCACGTTCCCAGGTTGTTCATCACCCTCTCCTGGATCTTCTCCTGGATGCGCTGGTATGTCTGTGCCTCTAGCTGCAGGCTTTTATTGTGGTTCTCCCACTGCAAAAGCAGAGGGACACAGGCATGAGACCAAAGCACTGCCACTGGCAGACAAGTTCTAGCAAGCATAAAACAAGGTGGGGTGGAGTCCAGTGAAGCAGGATTGGTCACAGCAAGGATGGGGGCAAGGCAGCACGCCCCAGCTGCAAGCCAGAGGCTGCACAGGCCACAGGAGGCAGGGAGCAAACCCAGCCCCTCTGTAAGCAGAGATTAGCATTTCCCATGAACTCAGCCAAATCTAACATCTGTGCTAGGACACACTGTAAACATGGCTGCTCCCCAGAAGTCCTGGGCAGGAAGGTTGAGATTACAGGTCATTTTTTCAGAACAGGCTCATGCTATGTGGAACAAGCTGGTGGATCTGAATGCAGCAGCAAGCGCTTGCTGACCTCACTGACAAGGGCCGTTGGGAACTCTCTTAAGAAGCTCCATCAGAATGGCTCGGTTTGGCCACTCCCAGCCATGCCCGCTGCAGGGGGAAGGGGTGCTGCAGCTGTCTCACTGGCTAGTGACACGGTCCAGAAACCTTAAGCATGACTCACAAGGAAGTCCCCACAGCATTTACAAAAACACAATGGACTTTGTAATCCACCTCCAAGACTACACCTTCTCCTGCCAGGCAGGCTGCCCTGTGGGCAAGGCATCACCTTCCCCAATTTCCTCTAGGAGGGCAGAGCAGCAGCTTGCTGGGGGCAAGGGAGCAAGAAGCGTGTGGTGCATCAGGCAACATAAGCAACATGCCACACTTACTCTGGTGGAGGACACAGGGCATGAGCTTGGGGATTTGTTGGGTTGGACTCAAGTCTGACCTATGCTGGGCTCAGGATGTTATGGTATCTGCACAGATTCTTTGGTGAGGCAGTTTCTTGCACACACATTACTGGCAGGGACCTTTGCACCAGGCAGGGAGCATTACAAGGCTACAGCAGCTCTGGCCAAGGAGATGTCTCCTACCCTCTCAAAATAGAACAAGTACTTCTTAAGGGCCTCCCTGGCCTGTGCTTGCTGACTCTGGTTTACAATATCAGGATTCTCTTTGTACCGACTGCATTCGTAGTACTCGCTGCCATGCGTCTTCCAGTCTCCCAGACACATCCAGCAGAAGTCTGTAAAGAACAGCAAAGCACAATCACTATGATGCACGCAAAGAACACAGCACAACAGCTTCCAGAAAGATAATGCAGGGGCTGTTTCTCTGGAACTTGTCAGCAGTGCCCTGCAGCCAGTGAACACCTAAAGCTTCTCAATTCCAAGAGCAGCCAGGTTGTGATCTGTGAACTACAAATACAACATCATTAGCAGAAGTCTGTAAAGAACAGCAAAGCACAATCACTATGATGCACGCAAAGAACACAGCACAACAGCTTCCAGAAAGATAATGCAGGGGCTGTTTCTCTGGAACTTGTCAGCAGTGCCCTGCAGCCAGTGAACACCTAAAGCTTCTCAATTCCAAGAGCAGCCAGGTTGTGATCTGTGAACTACAAATACAACATCATTGGGGAGGGAGGGAGGGG